CGTCGGAAAGTTGTTTTTCCGACGGATTTTGCCGTCGGAAAAACCCGATTTTTTAGTAGTGATAAATCCTATGTTAACTTCGAAACTAAAACATAGTTGACTTTTTGATCATACAAAATTCCGCAATTAAAAAACACTTTCAAATATTTTCTACAGTGATACCAGTTGAGAAAATGGCTTCAATTCCAGCTATCCAAAAACGCTAACAAGGTATGCCAACTTTTTAGAGGTAATTTTATCTGACAATTTTACTGTAACAGATACAAAGCTTTTTTAATACGTTTTTCCAACTCCATAACACCTAAAAAAACTCATGAACTTAAATGTTAACTCATATCATTTAAATTATGTAATTTTCTTAAATTGTTATTAACATTTGACATAGATCTCCATCTAATTAATAAGGTTAATAAACTGAAATCAACAATATGAACTACTCCAAGATCTAATTCATGTCGCTTTTGACATTAATTTTTTTTTTTATCAATCTTTGATACTCATCTAATTTTTTATCAGTCGTTGATAGTCATATTCCGGGGAATATTTACAAATCACTGGGTTCGAAAAAAGACATATTCTTTATTACTAAGAGAAGGTTATTTCTTTCACTAAGATCACAATCAGAAGGTTACTTATCATTTTATTAGAAAACAACCAATAGAAACACATCCTATTAACATTGAGTCGTAAATCCACAACTATTAGCTAAAAATTAAATAAGATACTACTTTTATCTATTTCTACGCAAACATCACTATAAAACAAAGAGCTTTCACCTACTGAAAATCCGTCGGAAAAAGCCATCACTGCTGGATCTCATTGACGGAGAAAATGGAGCTGGTGATCGTGATTACCAGTGGGTTTTCAATCATCGACAGAAAAATACATCGGTTAATAGTCAATCCGTCGGTCAATCTGCTGAAGATCCGTTGATAATTACCAATGGGAAAATATGTCGGTGGAGCCTTTACCTTTTGGAGTGCATTGAATGGTAGATGTGCTTCGATTTTCTTTTCCAAAATATTTATGCAACATGTATGAAGGTACATTAATCCGTCCCGCCTTCCCTTTTTGTTGTCCCAGTTTCGTCCTCTCGTGATGTCGTTGGTGCCTTCTTGGCAACATTGTTGTCATTGCCCTTTAGTTTTTTTATTCCAAATTAGGATTTTTATATTTTGACAATTAAATACTTTTTTTATTAACCTGAATATTCAACCCGTCATGCAAGCCGACTAATCCCAAGACAACAATCCATGCCGGAGTCACCCATTTGAACTTTTGTGGCCACAAGGAGATTTTTATTTCTCGTTGGATTTGAATCTGAGATCTCCATACACTTTTGACCTTTGAAACCCAAACTTAAACCAATTAGGCACCAGCCTTATAGTTTACAATCAAATACTTTTAAGTTAAGTACTTGGGGTTTACATTGTATAGTTTGACACACAATCACACACACATGTGCGTGTGTGTATATAGAGAGAGGGAGAGAGAGTGTGTTTGGCTCTAGTAAGAAAGACCCAATTTTTTTTTCTTGAGAATGTAAGAAATGGTTAAGGTATTTTTATATTGTGTGAATGTTTTTTTTTAAATCCATGTAATCCAAAATATACAGTTCTATCTTACAAGTCATGTAAAACTTACAACATTCCCATAATATAAATATATTTTCACCATTTTCTCAAATTCTAATGAAAATGAAATTTTTTTAATGATTGTGACTATATATCATTTGTGATAAGGGTGTTTTTGTTTTCTTGTAAAATAGAGGTGTTCTCGTTTGAACCTCTCTCTCTATATATATATATATATATAGTATGTGAACTGATAAATGAGGGGATAGATGGAAAACAAATAAGATAAAAAGTGCAAATAGTAAAATATAGAATAGGAAAAAAATAATCTGAAATGCATACATGTTGTATCATTTTCAAAACGCTTATCCGGGTAAGTGTTTACTAAGTCACTTTACTTTACCGGATGAATATGACAAGGACTAAGAATCTTACCCGGTAAGAACGAAGACTAGAATCAAGAGTCTTATCCGGTAAGTGAGGACGATGACTCTTACCGGAATAAATTGTTGCATACGATGTATTTTAGTGAATAAAATCTTACTCGGTAAGTAAGCGATAGTCTTGAATTTTAGCAATAAATGCTTACCGGATAAGTGTTTAAGTAAACGGCCCCTTAATTGGCTAACCAACAAATCAGTTGCAGATAAACTCAAGTAATAAGCTTAGAAAGTGGAAGTGCATGCAACAATTTATGAACGGGTTTAAAGCTACGATTGAGTTATAAATTTTATTTGAATTAATTAGATGGCCCTACTAGTTTTTATGTTCCTAACATGATGATTGCTAAATCTACTATATCACATAAAAATATTGTTGACAAAATTTGAGATTTGTTATTAACAATGGTAGAAACTGAAAAGTCTAACTACACATTTATAATTATAACTAAATACCTCGGTCTGTTATTGTCTTTAGTTTCAAAACATTAAGAAACTACCGACCAACTTCATCAAACAAAAAAGCCCCTTGAGAGGTGTAACACCCGCCATATCGGATCTTCCATTTCTTGTTATTTAGATCGTCGTTTGGCATTTAAAAGGTTAAATCATTAAGGTTTTATACAATTATCATATAGGGATGTTTGTGGATCGAATCGAGAGAGAAAAACAGGAAAAATTGCGAAAAAGAGACCAAACGACTTGGGTCGCGGCGCAAGTCGCGGGTGTCTCTGTGTGTGTATGATTGGCTGGTGTGTGTGGCTTGCCCCGCAGCTTGAGGTTGTATACAGGGATCCATGGCTCGAGGTGAAACTCAAAAATGTTGATAAGTGACTTAATTTTGTTTTCTCACCACATTAAATGGAAATGGATCTTTTCGTCACTGAAAGGTGTAATTTTTGGGTGCTTTGCCACCCATGATTTCTGTGTTTTTGCATATAGAGCGTTATCCATACCTTTGATTTTTTATGTGCAAGTCTTATGCATATTTTGGGTATTGTTGTTATTCTAAAACGGGTGTTTGATTTGGAAATAACGAGTTTTGGAAGGATGTTCCTTTTATGTTTTGGGATTTAAATAAATGAGTCGTTATTTAAAGAAAATCATTCAATTTAACTGTTTTATGATCATATATAAACTGTTTTAATTTATTAGGTATTAAGCCTAACACTTGTTCTTATCGACATGTATATCAGATCTTAGTGGAATTTGGGTAGTGTTTGGAGCTTGAGGAAGTTCCGATAGGATGGCTTTAGAGACGACATCCTGTCTTTGAAGATAACAAACTTGATGGTTTTAGTAATCCCCGACCTATTCTAATTATGTCAAAAGATTAGATCGTCCGTTTAGAATTCTGATGCATATCTTGTCTTCCTTACATTGTAAACTTAGAATATCATGCTATCAAATGTGCTTTAAATTTGAAGGATTTAAGAAGTTTTGAATTATCTGTTATTTTATAAATTTAGAGGTGTAACAAAAGGAGCTTGAATATCGACCCAAAATGGTCAAGAAGGAATAGGGTGGGTCGTATTTTGATCGAAGCAAGGGCGGATCTCAAGATCCGCATACTTCTGCCTCGGAGTAGAGCATGGCAAAACAGAGCACCCGTATGGACCAACGCGGTTTAATTGTTGGACTTGGGCTTCTTTCTTATTGGGCCATAAATTTTTGTCTCTTAGGGTTGAATTATTTTGGGCCGAACAAAACAGGCCCCCATCGGACTTCTTTATTTTGATTTTTGGGTTCTGAAATTGTTTCAAAAGATTCAATTTCAAGCCAACCCAATATATTTAAATGCTTTCATTGTTGTTATCTTAAACGACATGTTTTATTATAAGCTATAAAATTACTAGTGAAATAATTATTAAACCAGTACGAAAAATATTACGGATTAAATTATAAAAATTATAATTTATCATGAATAGTAATTTATTTTATAATTATAACTTTATTTATTTAATAAGTTGTATTAGATATAATAACTAAATGGTATTTTTTTATTAACCTGAATATCCAACACGCTATGCGAGCCGACTAATTTCAGGACGACCACCTGTTTTGCAGATAGCATGGAGTCACCGCATTTGAACCTTCATGACCACAAGGGGATTTTTATTTCTCCTTGGATTTGAACTTGTGACCTCTTGGTACTTTTGATCTTTGGAGTCAAGCTCAAACCAATCAGACACCACCCTTATTACATCACTTGGAAAATGAACTATTGAGACAGACGTGGACTTGTATAATTCAGGATTTGAACTAATAAACAATCGCTCGGACAAATATATTGAGTATCAACTATTAAAACTGATCAACTTACAGGACTTTTGGTTGATTATTTTGTCATGAAGAATTAGTTAAAAAAGGTATGAAAAAAAACCTAAAACTCGGAAGATATCATCCGAAATTTGAAATTTTCGGATCTAAGACGTTTAATGTTAAGTTGTTTTCATGTATTTACATTGGATAATTGGGGGTTTTCGAATCGGTTTATGTGTACGGATTAATGTGAAAACAAAATAATTGGTATAATAAGTTGGTGAGGCAAAACGACATCGTATTAAAAGCATTCCACTTTATTTAGATTTTAGACGGGGAAAAGCTACCACTAAAACCCTTTCTCCTTCCTCGTTCTTTTCCATGGAGCAGCCTGGAGAGCGAAGGAGACAACTACTTGTCGGCGGAGCAGCCATGGCAGCTCCGGAAGCTCCTCTATGTTACGTCGGTGTGGCTAAGAAATCCGCCGCTTTCCGCCTCATGAAACAAATGGTTAGTTTACTTGATTTGTATCACAATCGATTTCGAAAACATTGATTTTGTTGTACTTAATTACACCAACACGTTCAATTGATGGATTGTAGTTGAATTTTGTAGGGATGGGAAGAAGGTGAAGGCCTTGGGAAGGAGAAACAAGGGATCAAAGGTCATGTTAGGGTTAAGAACAAACAAGACACTGTTGGTAAATTAATTTACTCTTCTTTTTTTCTTCTTATTATTAAAAATTCGTTATAATTTTAGGTTAAAGAAATTGTTCATCAATTACGTCATCCAAATTAACAAATCAATGCCAAAATAAAGGAGGTTAGTTATTGAAAGGAGGGCAAAGTTGTGGATTGAAGTGTTTAATTGTCAACTACTGAACACTTGGATTTGTTAAATTCAACCTTAATTGGATGAAAATCATGTAATTAGTAAGATAGTTTTTGTATTTGATTGATAAAAGGTATGCAAGTGATTGAGGTTTTGCTGGATGGTTCTTGTGAAATGCAAAAAAGAAGAACATTGTAGGATGTTATAGATTTCAGACGAGTTAGGGGAATTTAAATGCTACAAAAACCTTACCACCGGACACTTCCTGTCTGAAATCACTCATTTTTATAAACAAATTGTGAAATGGTTTATTTGCAATGGGAAGCTGGTTATAATGATTTGAAAAGTCATTTATCTTTTGTTAAATGCCGGAAACGACATCCATGTTAAACTTTTGCCACCGAACCGCCAACCCTGTAATTTATTGACCATACATGATACACCGGTAACGGGTGGGGGAACCAAAACCGTGATCTCTGGATTTTGCGATTGCTGCTTTTTCCTTTTTTTTAGGGAAAATATATGTATATAACTGTGTTTTCACTTGCATCTCTCAATAAAGAATTTAGTAATCACACAGTTAGATTCTCACAATCATATAACTTGTGTCATTTCCATTCAATTGTCATTCAAATTAAAAAAAAATGAAGTTGAGATCGAGGGATTTTAATTATTCAATAAATTAAAAGAAGGTTCTACTAGTGAGCTAAAGCACCTACTTCAAGCTGTGAAGCCTCATTTCAATTGGACAAAAGATGATGTAATGAATATGATAAGGTTATAAGAATTTAAGTATGTGGTTGATGAACTTTTTGACAACACTGATTGCTTTTGTTTTTGAATGGAGATGGAGGGACTGCAAGATTTTCATTTGGTATTTTTACATTTTTATGATCCTCTTTGAGATGAGGACAAAAATTATCATTTATGGGAAATTGAGATGATTTCTTAAGACAATGATTATGAACTAGACAGTAGATCTATGAGCACGAAACTAGGCATGCCATCTAGTTTAATTTGAAATACTATTTTTTTACTTGTAACTAAAATGCAGGTATTGGATTGGAGAAACCAAACCCATGGGCATTTGATACAACACAGTTTGATGGGATTCTCAAAAAATTGAAAGTGGTAAGTTCTTCACCTCTGTTTTCAGACAATCGGAGATTATTCTTCATGATTGCTTTAGTTTTTAATTATTAACTAAATTTTTGCAATGATATTTGACAGCAAGCAACCCAAACAAAAATTGACCAAGGTATGCTTAAGGAATTCTGATTAGTAGTGTATAAAAATGTTGTAATCGTATTAGATTCCTGATTGCAGTTTTTCTGCTTGTGGTATCTAGCAGTTGACGAAAAGGATGATGACCTGGAGTTGGATTCAGCAAAAGAAGATAGTAAAACAACTATCAAGGCTACCCGGCCGCAAGGAAGGTCTACATTGTTACATGAATTGTATACACTTTTCAATTTCCAATAACTGTTAGTTACTGATTTTAATGGTATATATTCGTGTGTTGCTAGATACAAGAGAAGAGAGAAAGGGAAGCATGTCCATGCATACTCTGCTCAGGATCTTGAAGGAATCCTTGTATGTTTTCTGCCTTTTGCACAAACATTTTTAATAACCATAACTTCTATTATTTATGATTGTGCTGCTTTAATCTTCATAGACGGGAAGTGTCGTTATGATTATACTTGTTCAATCTTCATAGATGGGAAGTCTCATTATGAGTATGCTTCTTCGATCTTCATAGATGGGAAGTCTCATTNATCTTCATAGATGGGAAGTCTCATTATGAGTATGCTTCTTCGATCTTCATAGATGGGAAGTCTCATTTTGAGTATGCTTCTTCGATCTTCATAGATGTGAATTGTTTGGAACTGGGTCTGTTGACGCTATAGTTTGTCGTGGTTGATTTGTTAGACATTATGTTGGAGTTAACTAGTATAACTTGGCATTTGTTATGGCTTGATATTGGGCCACAAAGAGAATTGATATATGACCTGTACAAATCTGCCATCAGCGTGTAAAGATGCACGATTTTTGGTAGTACAGGATGCTGATGAATTCTCATGGCTGGATAGATATATTGTTTATTTGTAATCAATCTTTAACAAAGAATTGCTGAATATCAAAAACTTATTACTCAAAATCCCATTTTCTAGTGAGCTGAAGTAGGCATTTTTGGGGTAGAGGAAATGATGGGTTGGTGTGGTAGAGGTTATGACCGTAGGTGGCTAAGACTGGGAACGTGATTTATGTTACCCATAACATCTGTTGAGGACAGCCTGGGGAAGTTAGGTTAAGTAAATACACTGTTTCTAATTTTTTATCTTGATCATCATTTGTGTTCGGATATGATGTTAAGTGGCCATACTTCGTTCAGATCAATTGAATGAGGTTATTTTAGCGGGATGTTTCTAGTGGAACAATTCATATTAGCACTAATTGATAAAAACAAGACATCTAATGTGTGCAATCTTCAGTACTTGTGGTGTCTGAGTTTCTGGTGGTGGTTTGACAAAGTTTGATATAAGCATCAATTTATATTTTGACTAGATTGTTTTGTGGGGAGACAAGGTGTAATATTGATGTGAGTACATCTTAGTTTTCTATGCTTAGATTAATTTTTAATGTAAATTGTATGTAGAATATGCCAGAGTGCCACCAAGTGTTTCGTGGTAAATGTATGCACACATCTCTCAGATTTTATTCTTTTACCTCTGAACCGCCCATCAGATCTTATATATGGGATGGGAGGGGACCCAAATGAGTGTGTTTTCTTAGGAGTTGTTCAGTTTGACAGTGCTGGTTGATTCCAGTTCCAAATATTGATATGCCGGTTACATAATTTTATGCAGGTAAAAAAGGTTGAGGATAGTCCAGATCCTGGGCCTGAGCCTTTCTGTTATCAGGATGGAGATTTGGATTTGGTTGAACCATCTGAAAGCGACACTGTTAATGTGAAAGGTAAACTGTGTGGATTTCATGTCGAGTGTGAGCACCATATAGAATTCCCATTATGATTTGAAGGAATTCAGGACATTATTTTTAATATCTTATCTATTACAAGGTGCTAAGGTAGTCTCCATTTTGTGGGAAAGGCTAGAAGGGGATGGGGGTAACAATCAACCAATAAATCCTATCAACTTTCTTAGTCATTCATGAATCTATAAACATTTAAGATCATCTTTGTGGTTTATTGCTTGTCATTATCTTTATGTGATGACTATTTATTGTATATATTACTATTGTTTTTTGAAAATAATTACATTTGATTGGATACATCACTTGATGATGGTGTTTAACTATTAGCCAACTATTTGAACTACTCTTTAGTAATGAGGAGTCTTTTAGGTCAAATTCTATGCTATTGGTAGTTACTAATGGAAAAAGAGATAATTTTAGATGGAAATTTTTGCCTACAGAGGTCTGTATTTTGTTATTGAGGCATCCCAAAGGGAAGATGTTGCATTATTTGAAGGGAAACATCTGAGATATGTGTTCATGGCAACACATTACTTGACCTCTTATTATGTTTTCATGTACACTTCAGTATACCTTGACTTCATAATGAATGTCTCACTATTGCCTTTATTTAGCTGTAGTTTTAGCATGTCTATGTGGCAATAATTATATAGCTGAACAATGTTTAACAGCTAAAGATAGAGAAGAGGTTTCCCCAGAGTGGTGGGGTAATAAATTCGGATTTGTGTCCGGAGGTTTTCTTGGTGCTCAATCCAGGAGAAGGAAGTCTAGCACAACTGAAGATGCTCAAATATGTACCAAGAGGACAGTATTTCATGAGGAGGATCAAGAGAATCTTTATAACCTTGTACAAGTATGTATCCCATCCCTTACTTTTTTCTTCAGTTCATGTTAATTTTTAATCACAACATAATAACTCCATCTGTCGACAGAGAAAAAGATGTATAATTTACTTCTTAGATCAAATCTGTTGCTTCAAAATTTTAGCATATAACCCCAACATGCCTTCTATTTGTAGTGCCAGTTATAAAGTCAAAATCTAGTTACCAATAGGTCTCAAAAATTTGCTTTTCTCAATTTCTTCTTATATTAATATGATGGGTCTCATAAAAATGTGTTCTTGTATCATGAAAATGGAACCCGCAAGTGTATTGAAATGGCCAGAACAAATGGACCCTAAAGAATCTGCATTAAATTCTGAATACGAAAGTTTATCTGCTCAACCCCAAAGCAAAATGTCGTCCTTTTCTTAGGACAGATGGAACATGCTTGATTGCTTATATTGGCAAAGAAAGATGGTTTGCTTAGTCATGTAGTTGGTAAAGAATAAGAATCTTCTGTCTCTAAATCCCAATCCCTCCTTGTCCGCCAATCACGTGAAAACACATCATCACTTTATCGAGGAGTAAGACTAAAAAATGCATGAAATAAATTCATATTCATTAAAATAATGATAATGTCTTACACGTGATTGGTAGGGTAGGAAGGGAACTGGCGTTTTTTATTTGTTGGTAAAAGGGGTAGCAGTTTGTTGGTTGAAAGCATATCATTTGCTTACCGAGTCCTTTTGCAGGATAAAGCAACTTCTGGAAAACAGGGACTAGGCATCAAGGACCAACCAAGGAAAGTAGCAGGTGTTCGTTTCCAAGGAAAAAGAACATCTTTTAGCGAGAACGAGGAGGAGGGATCCGAGTCTGAAGAAGATTGTCATCCTTCAGCAAAACGGAAATTTGATGACATGTCAGAATCACAAAAGACCATTGAATCAAAACCGAAGCTAAAGAAGTTGTGCAAAAAGCTTCTTTCTCAAGTATGTGACGTTAATAAACAGAACTAGTTTTGTGAGGTTTGCTCAATGTTCTCTTTTGTGCTGATGATCCAATTATTGTGACAGGTACCTGAGAAATCATTGAAACTTAAACAACTAAAAGCTCTTGTTGATGAACATTCTTCCATTTTTTCCGACTTTTCTTCAAAAAAGGATGCTCTTGGATTCTTGAGAAAGAAGGTAATGCTGAATGCATTTTTTATGCATACAATATTTATATATGCAAATACACATGCATTCTTTTCACCAAGGTGAGGTTTGAACTTTGATTCATCCGCGCTCTACTGGTAACTTGAAGTACCGCCTTGGGCGATGACTATTTGGTGAATGCTTTTCAATGGAGCTAGTCCTTCCATCCGGAAGGTCAATGAGGGTTTCTTGTTTTGGTAGGATGGAATTAGTGGTTTATTAATATTGTTGTTTTTTTACTGCAGCTTGAAGGCAGTGAAACATTTACCATAGAAGGGAAAAGAGTCCGTCTTTCATCAAAATGAGGAAAAAGATTTTGCTCTGTGGACATTTGTTACTAATTATTTTTTATGGGGTGAATTTTGTATCAATTTGGAAGTTTTGATGAGGGTTTTATGTACAAGTGATGTTGGTAACAATTGCTCACGCTACTGAATTCGTGCCATCTAATAGTTTATGGTAATACGTTGGCTTTTGTAGGAGTATGCATCGAGAAATACATAAGGATCAACCGGTCTGAGATTAGGCCCGGTACTGGTTGGGACCATTGAGGTTTGGTTAGCATTAGAAGTATGGTATTATATCAGAGACCCAAGCCTTGTTAAAGATTTGGAATAGGGTAGGCCTGGTGGGGAAAGTTGGTTAAAATCGACTGCATGAGTAATGGTACTTGTTCCCTATTAAACTACATGTCATGCAATGCATCTATTGAAACAATCTTAGGGCTGTTTGATTAGCTTCTTTTCTAAGCCGTACACATAACAAAGTGTGTTTGTTTTTGACTTGTTCATTAAGCCCTGTAGCTTAATCGCTCAGCTACCCTGGACTTGCTGAATCCATTTAGCCACCTACCTCGTACTTCATCCCTATTTCCCTCCCTTGTCTCTTGCTTCTCGATCTACCCCATTGCAGCGCCCACATATTGGGAAAGGGTGCTGCATGATCTGCTTTTCTGTTGCTGTTCTTGGGTTTTGTTTAGTGCGGTTCCATTCTTTCGATTTTATGATTGAGAATTTGAAAATGAGTGAGTGAAATCTTGGATTTTAGGTTATCGGTTGATGGTAGACGTTGTCTGCTTTTACTGTTCGTTCAACAAATGGGTTTTTGCTGTCACAGACTGCTCATGCTATCTGTCGCCATTTACGATCTTGCTTATATTCATACTCCGTTTATGATCTATGGTGCTTTCACTACTTTGTTTATGTTCAACTTGTTTGAGTGAGTGTTTCTATTTTGTTGTGACAGCCCGGAGAAGCGTCCATATTCCAACCGCGAGGGGGGGATAGGGTAGGAGAATTAGGGGATGAAGACGAAAAGCCGCCCCATTACAAAAAAAACGTAAACTGAGATTGAGAATTTATCAAAAGAGTAAATGTGCCAAATTTTTATACAATTTCTCAAGTACTCAATAAAGGTGAGTGTTCCTCGTAACTTGTAAAAATGTTTTTTTTTATTAGAGGGGCCTGGTTAGGATAGTCAAGTTAATCTTGAACTGTGAACTTATGACTCATAAGTTCGCAGTATAAGTTGGCAATTCAAGACTAACTTGACTGTCCTAACAAGGCCCCTCTAACAAAGAGTAAATGATTATAAAAAAACAATGGTACCTCTTATATAATCAAATATATCTAAGAAGGAGCGGTCTTAGATCTCAACCTTTTATCACCCAAAAAAACAGTCTTATGATTCAAACGTCTTATATGATCAAACATAAATGGTAAATAAGAGTTCTTTTACAAAACAACAAACGGCTTGATTGCAACCAACCATAGCTATGCAATGCCATGGACTACTTATCTGTACAACTACAATATGCTAGTCGACAGAACTCGATGTAAGGCTTCTATCTTAATGTTAATTTGTGTATTTCACAATAAAACTAAAACACCAACTTTATTTAGTAACTAAATGTAATGAGCCTGTACAATTTTCTTTGCTAAATATTTCCCTAAGAAATCATATCCATGAAAGTAGAGAGCTTCGATTTCTGCTTTTCGACGGCTCTCAACCATTACCGCCAACTCTTCTTTATAGTTATCCTATCAAAAATCATTCTCTACTCAGATTCCATTTTTCTTTGTTTTCCCTCCTTTCTCATAGAAAGTTCATAATAAGGCAATCAGATGATGAGTTTTAGAAGAGTACCTGCAATATTTCTGAAGAAGTCAAGCTTTTGGCAATTTGCATATCTCTTGGCTTCAATTGAATGAGAGATTCTTCCGGTATAATCTCCAAATCATCTTTCCTTAATCCCAACCACTTGATGTTGCAAGCTGATTGAATAAAGATGTCATCTTTAACCTTAATGGACTATAAAATGCCAGGTAAATGCAGATCAAAATTCAAAGATGTAACTTTTACAAACTTAGCAGTTTGCCTATGTTGTTTTGCTGGAAATTTTTTATATCTTAAATTTTTTGTAGTACATATAGGCCTGCAGATGTTTCCAATCAAGGGTACCGGGTGATAAATTTTAGTGTCCAAAGGTCACAGATATTTCTATATTAACCTGTTTTCCGTGAGTATGTAGCCGGTCAACCATTTCAGTGAGTATAGGTCACTGGGTCAGATAACGGGTTTAAATTTTTGGGTACCAAAAAGCACTGGTGTTTTTGTATGTTGTACCCATACAAAGAAAAAGTCAACATTGTTTATAAGAAAATTTCTGGCATAACCGCATAATGTGATCCGAATAGTCTAAATCAGACTTGATATCCAACACAAAACAGGGAGTACAAGTATTATTACCATATCTGAATGCTTCTAGGCCCATCCCAATGCTTCCATACTTGAAGGTGCAAAGAATAGCCAATCCAGCTGGGTTCCTGAATTACATTACAAGTTTGCAGGTGGCATCTAAATAAGTGGGTATGATTTCAAACACTTAAATGCCAAAAAAAACCCAAGTAGAAATGCTTGTAATTACCAGTCAACCAACCCTAAAATTGGCATTTCAGGAAAAGCTTGACTCATACGGTGAAGAAAAAACCTATTTGAACAATCCAGAACTTGGGTTACAAGAAACTATGATTTCAATTCTTGAACTATCGGAAGTAAAATCTACCTTGTAGCAATATCAGGGTATCCTTTTGCAGTTATAAGAATGCATGGAATTTGATTGAACACTCGATCCTCAGCCAACCGCTGAAATATTGCATGCTAAACACAAATAGATTAAGTAATACTCCTACATTTGCAAAAGCCTTCAGAGAAGTTTCAAACAAACGTGATACCTTCTCAATCACAAAGATATAATGAGCATCTGTCTTCATGACCAGTTTCTCCAACAAGTCTAGGTCACCAGAAATAGCGTAGCCAGAAGATCCGCATGTAGTGCAGTCAACAGTCTCTTCGTTAGGCTCCTTGTAACACAATTTTGAAGCCGATGAACAGCCATAAGCAGAAACATTTGGGCATCAAGTATTATCTGATTTTACGGGATCAACCAGTGCTAGCCTATCTTCATATGTTGCAGTGATTGGGTACAGGGACTACTTATTAACTATTAAATTCGGATTCGCACAAAGAACGACCATCAGTTTGATTAAACCATCAAATTTTATGCCCACATCTCTAGTTTATGTCAAGTTATATATACTGATAGTCTAGGGGCACATTTATGCCATTCTCGTAATTATGGATAGGTATATATAGTTTCCTCTTTTTCCTCTTTGTAAAGTCACAGTTCCTTCATATTCATCAGTACGTAGAAATGTTTCTCCCCGTCATCATCTTTAATCTCATTCATCAATCCTAACCTAACTGTTTAAATGAAGTGTAAAGTAACAAGAACACTATTGCTACAAAGGTGTAGCATTATATGTACCATGTCTTAATTAAAACTGAGTTAGTAATGTGTAGTTATAAGACAATTTGATAGAGGAATACAGTAGATGGGAATACAAGTGAAGAACACACATCTTTACCTGCAACAGTAAGCGACCGGCTACAGCTCCTCTACTAGATGCCATGATTCCAAGACTAAAACGGCTGCATCGAAGCAATGCTACCACATCTTTGTTGCATATATGTGAAATTGTATGATCAGGAAAGCAAATCAACGACATTTTATGCAGAAATGATAACATCAAATAGCCAGATCAATGTGACATAGAAACAAGAAGGATTTGACCTTGGATTGTTTGATTGACCTGCAGTTGAGATGCAAAATAATCTGGTGATGCACAAAGCAACTTGTAAAACAATTCTCTCTGGGTTACTCTCTTTTCCAGAACTAGAATCTCGTAACACATCTCCATCACCTTCCACACTATTTTCCACAAAAATATTAAATAATGCGTTGAAATTAGCAACCACATGCCTTTTTATGTGTCTGTGTTGATGTAATAGTTGTTGGAGATTTAAAAAATACCTCTTATGAAGGATTTAGCAGTATTTTCCCTCGTCAAAGATTTTGTGCAGAACGCATGTGACAGAAAAATCCATGAAACATCGGTCAATAATCCCTGATTCACTCTGCTATTACTTGCCTTCCGCTTGATCTGTTTCAGCAGCAACATTCACAGCACATACCAAATACTGCTAGTGAGCAATTAAGACGAATTTTTCCATAAACTATATTCTACTTAAATGTATGGTAAATTCACTTGGCTTGTAGATTAGTTATAGCATTCATAATCGAAATCTCGATAGTGTGATGTAAGGTCATATTGATTGTCACAAAGTATCAAAACAAATCAGATCCAATAAAAAAATTCAAACGGTGAAGAAATCGAACCGTTGGGAGGTTTGAGATGGCTGGAGCTGGAGAGTTCAAAACCTTGAGGAAATTAAGAACCGCTACTTCGATTCTAGCTCGGACCTGATCATTTGATTCCTAACATTATTAAAACTTGTCAAAATTTACATGTATAATCATTGAGAAGTACCTGAAGAGGCGGAAGGATATCGGCGTAGGAGAGGTGTTGCTCGGTGAAGAAGCTGGTGGACCTGCGTGCGTCTCCCATGCTTGCCCTACTGCTTATGGTGTTGGCAGCGCGCCAACTCTGCTTCTATATCTTTAAAACAAATTATCTATTCTTAACCTTTTATCTCATTAACAACGTAGATAGAATGCAATAAAATGATTTAAGGCAAATTGCAAAAAGAAAGTAACAAAAACAAATAGAATGCAATAAAATGATTTTTAGGCAAATTGCATAAACAAGCAACGTATTTGTTTTAATTTTTTATTTTGGAAAAACATATTTCTAAAACAAATATAAGAGTCTACTATATAATTTTATAGTAAAAAAAAGAACGTGAATGATCTGTATAACCGGTAATAGGTGATGGATGAGTTGGGAATTTATTTATAACCTCAAGTTGTGGGCTAACGATAATTTTCAAGATGGTTTTAAGTTGATACCGAAGTTATTGGGCCATATAGTTGCTTTGGGCTTTAGGTGTTACATAACAAGTAGTCTAGGCTTCCCTTGTTTTACAGAGGTGGTTTCAAATTGCTCATCATATGCATTGAAATTGGATCTATAAGAGCCAATGAAGTTTTATTTTTATCTGGATGTGTAATCAAATATGTTGAGTAACAAAACAAAGTAGTCACGAATATATGTGTTAATATGTGGTTATTGCACAAAATCATATGACACAATATGCAACAGTCTCAAATAACATTATACATTCTTATTCATATGACACTAGAAAATTTGAATTTCCAGTCTCCACAAACTAAGTGAAAGGAAAAAAAAGAAATGCTAATATTTCGAAGAGCAAATGTCATACGTTTTTTGTAAAAGCTGGCTTGTCAAGCTTTAGTTAAGCTGCTCGTGGAAATATCATATTTGTTATGGAACTCTCTTGCTATAATTCTTGTTTTTATAGTTCAATATATTTGTAAAAAAGTTTGTTCACTTTGATCATATGTCCCTCCTATAACAGTTTGATTAAGTACATTGTATTAACAAACCGAGTAAATGTCCGTGGACTTCCCATTAGGAATGTGTAGTTCGAAACAAGATATTTGCAATTTAGCAAAGCATTTGGATGAGTTGTCTCTGAATGAACTCCTTAATGGTACTCACAAACATCCACAGTCCATCAAAGAGCAGGTAAAGAATACCGCAAATTTAAATGAAAATATTATGCATTCAGTTAGAGAGGCTTGCTTAATTCTTCAGCTTAAGAAGTCTACTCAACTTCAAAATTTGCCTCTTGTGGATTAATCTCTAAAAGAGCCCTTGAGGAGATAAGGGGGGTTCCAACATATATAGAGGGAAACTTGTCCAAATAAATCATTTTTTATATCATTAAGTCATTACCAAATAGTCATGTATAACTGACTGAATAAGCAGATTCCCATTATGCTCATAAAGCTGCTCACAAAGAGACCCTCAATCTCCTCTACATAATAAATTGCAAGTTTAGTTAGGGATATACCTACATTTTTCTTGTAACTGAAGTTATTTAATCTTTGAATGAATGCAAATGACAATTACTGTATATGTATTTAAGGTGGAGAATTATTGTTCTGATGTTTCTGATCATCCCAACGTAATTGAATTTCCATTGTTTGCACCAAAGGATGTTGTGGAACGCCTTGCTCTATCTCCTCCCAAGAATCTGGATCTTTTGCTTCTCGACAGCATGAATTGCACTTCAAGTTCAAAAAATAACCTCCATCCACGTTCGCGAAAGCCTGTACACGGCCGAGGCATTTTACCAACTTTTCCTTGGTCACATATTTCTGGAAGCCATTTTAAAACTAATCCTGATGTAGTCAAGTTAACTACAAATAAGAGTACATGCCACGATAGATGGGCGAAAATAGGGAACTCTGCCTTTTCCTTTGGGGACACATACCACTTCTTTTGTAGATTTGGAATTTCTGGTTTACGACCAGAGCCTTGTTCCATGTGCATGCCAACAGCCAGGGCCAAGTGAAACATCTACACTGCTGATTGTACTGATACAACTTTTGAACAGGTGGTACGACCTTCTGGAGTGGGATTGATAGCTTCTAGTACTTCAGGTAAACTTTTTTACACTTCTTTTCTTATTTACAAGGACAAAATTAATTGGGCAGTAATGATATGAGTTCCTACCACTTAAATGTATGAAAATGTGATCAATTGCTCCTGCACCCACACTAGGAAGTAGGCCAAAAAATGTCTTTCATGTGCCTTCAATGTTTTGCATCCTATATACACTAAAGTTGATAAGATTAGCAGTCAAAAATTCTATTCATCACTTTATTATTATGCATGTACTCTCTTCATCCCATAGAAATTGCAACATGGTAATTTTAGGGGAAATTCCGGCTGCTTTTTAAATATAAAAGCATACTTCAATAGTGACACGCTAATGGGATCTCAAACCAAATGGACGACAATGACAAATGGGTAAATTGCAATACGAAAACTTCCCATAACCGAAAAAGTTGCAAGTTTGAAGGGTATCCCAATATGAAAATATTGTTGCATGTTTGTATCAAGAAAAGATGACAAATCTCTTCTCTATCCCATGAAATATGCAATAATTTTCATTTTAGAAGGTCTTGAAAATTACAAGTTCTACTTTCTTGCTAAATTACGTATCTCTTATTCATGTTGTTGATTTTGTTTCACATGACCCTATATTTTGTCATTATATTACAAATATTTAGAGACTAGTCAAAAACACTCTTAGCATACCATTTGTCAAGCCAAGCATTTCATTTTTCTGTGTCGACCCGAATATTGCAATTTTCATTTTTCATGTCGTTTTTTTTTGCTATAATAGAGTAATATAGTAGTTGATCTTAAGAAAAATGGGCTGCCATGATTCTGTATAGGTTGTTTTCCAAATGGGGATTCTCCAGGGATATTAGCTGTTTCTGCTCATTATGTGAAATTGCAACTCATTTCCGAAAACAAGATGAAAATGTGACAAGAACGAGATGGCCGAAGAGGTTTTCCCAGAAGTGTATGAGAGCTACCAAGTTGAAATTTGATGAGCAACTTGAAAAAGCATTATTAGGGATTTGGAAGGAAGACATGAGTTGAAGAGGCCATCAATTCCAACCAGATTATCAAACAGACCTCCTAAGCTAAGAAAGCTCCTGCCAACGGAGTGTAGAACCCCGACCAACAAAAATAGGTATGAATTTGTTGTTGTTGAGGGACAGAGTAGTGATTTGTTACCGAAATTTCAATAATGAGGGTTTCGATCAAATTTGTTTTGAAGGTAGATCCGCCTACGACAGGAGGTACTTGACTTGTTTTCTTACTGGTTGGCTGACGACTCATCATTATATCACAGCAGGAATCTTAAGGTGTACATAGTGAAACCAAAAACTGAATTTGGTGTTAAATTTTTTATGGTAGAGAATATTTGCCCTTGAAGAAGAGGCAATTGAGAGAATGTTGATGTAATCCCTCATAACTCTTTTTTATTTGTTTTTCTTTTGGCTCTCATCTTTCAAGCCTGAATACAAAGGGGGAGAATGTTATGATTGAAAATCAGTGTTAAATTGTATTCAACTTGAAAGATTAATTTTGTCTATAATTGTATAAAAGTCATCGTGTTTGACTTTGACTATTAGAGTTTACTTTGACCCTATATAAATGGTTAGTTCCTTGTAACTTGAGTAGAAGAGCTTATTTGTAAAATCAGATTACGTAATAAGAGTTTGACCAAGATTAGAAGTTTGACCTTTTTTCTCAACTCTCTTCTCTTATTGTGTTTTTACAAGTTTATACAAATCTGCCATGGAATTCTTGAAGGTTTATGAAGATTGATTAAAGTGGAACAACATAATATATGTTATAAATATGTGACATTTAGGAGAAGAAGAAGAAGAGCCTTGGTTTATATCCAACACTATATTATATGTTTAGTTGTTGCAAACAAGTTGGTATATGAATAAAGCAAATAAAATTCAAATTATTGTCGTAGTTTATCATGATTGGACCAAGTTTTGTAATAATCTTATAAAAATCTAACCTTGTGGTGCTTAGTTCATTTCCATTCAGATAAGTTGTACTATTCTCGCGTAAAAGGATCGAACACAGATACCTGATAAATATGTAATGTACGTTGAAAGGGACATCGTGGGGATGTAGCTCAGATGGTAGAGCGCTCGCTTAGCATGCGAGAGGTACGGGGATCGATACCCTGCATCTCCATTAAGCAACATTTTTCTCTATAAAGGTTTCTTACTTTTTCAATATGGACCTTACCCTCAACCAAAATAGAAAATTGCATCAAAATTAAACTAACTTTCACCTGATTCTTATTTTTGGGAACCAACTTGCACCTGATTCTTATTTTGGAGAACCAATTTACAAAATAATTATAGAAAAATAACTAAAATTCATTTTTTTTCAAAAATTAATGCAATAAAATCTGATTTTCATTTCAAATCTTTTTTCTTTTTTTTAATTCAGATATCAAATTGAAGATTTTTTCAAAAAAAAAATCGAAATTACCACAATAAAAACTATTTTTTACTAATGCTATAAAAAATCAATTTAATAGAAAAAAATTAATTGATGCAATAAAAAATAAATATTAAATATCACTTTTAAGATTTTTATATCCAACCAATCCGTATCAATATTAAAGTTTAAATCAAATTTGGCAAATCAAACCAAAACTTTGATAGAGACCCTTAAATTATTTGTTACTTGTTCAACAGATCAACCTGACAATTAAATAAACAAAAAGTTTAATACAGACCCCTAAATGACGATTTTAAAAGTTGGTTCTTCGAAATAGAAATCAGTTGAAGTTGGTTTCATTTTGGTACAATTTTCCCCAACCAAAACGATTTATTTTCATCTCAAATCATTTTATACCTTCAAAATTCCAATAATAAAACGTTATATATACTTATGACTGTTTCTTACATGTATTTGTGAGATCAAAACAAAAACTTATTTTATGTTATATGTATTTGAATCTAGAACCTCCTAGTATGCTTGATCTTTGAAGTTCAAACTCAAATCAATTAAACACATCTCTAATGGTTTGATTTTTCATATCCAAATGAGAGTTATTAATGTTAAATAAATATAATTAAATAGAAAAAGGTAAAATATGCATGAAACTTGTCAAAGAAGAATGTAATTGATTTACCTATTTTTATTTACGACATATCACCTTTATACAAATTGGTCATATTAATATACGCAAATCGATTTACTCCTATTATTACATCTTTTCTTTTTTATTTATGTTTGTTAACAGAAATGAATTTTAATATTTGATTAATAGTCAAAAATTTGATTTTGTATACTCATGAAAGTTAAATATTAGATTAATAATCACAAATTTAGTTTTGTATTCTTCACAATATATGTTACATATTTGACTAATAATCAAACAATCAATCTGTTAAATATTTGATTAATAAATTAAACAATGGATTTTGCATTCTTTCATGATAGGAAACCAATAACTGGATTTCGAAGAATTGAAAAGGGCCAAGAACCACACCAAACACCAATATTTATAATCTAGTTTGCCTTACTGGTTTCAACATCTTAATACAGTTTTGTACGATGGTAGACATTTGCTTAACAATCCAACAATAAATTTGGTGTTGTAATTTTCAAGAAATGGAAAGAATACGACATATGTGATGAATATATACAACCATGAGCCGCAACAATTCTGAACTACTCTGGATTTTGTTAAAATCTCATATGTAATACAGTATTGTGCTGTTACGAGGTTTAAAGAAACATTTGGTCTAATAACAAAACAATAGCCATTGCAAAACCAGAATCAAACCCTTGATTTACAATCAATACAAAAACCTCTTGCCCGAAAGACACTCCTTCCATGGCCGTTTCTTTCCTACGAATCTCGGCCACTACATTTCTCGACTCATCAAGAACCTTACATGATCGATTCATGTATGACCCTTCAATCACATACCCGTTACTCTCGTCATATGGATCTCGATAAACTCGAGCTAATCTCTTTACCTTGGGACGTAGGATATCAAGATGTTTTCTTGCACAACATATTGGTTTTTGTTTATTTGATGATATTTCACCTTTGAACACGAGCCAATCATCAACCATCTTGAGTTTCTGAAGAGATACACGTCATGGGTATAAGAAATATGCCAAATTAAAAACAAGTATAATATATGGTGTAGTTTATGAGCAAAAATTAAAAAAAAAAAAATTGTATGATGTTTTATACACATAATAATATGGGTTTTATCTGCCCCAGTTGATTTTAGCATCTTATTTTATGGATCTTGGAAATTTGTGCTAGTTGAAAGATATTATCTCACTCAGCTCTCAAGTAAAAATGTAAAATATTTTTAAATAAATTGAAAAAAATAATATCAAGTAAATTTAAAAAATTACAAATATAAGGATTTGATGTATTATTAATAAATAGGGTGATTAATATTAAAAATAAAAGGTTACCTTGCTTCTAGCAACAGTGAGGATGGGTATGCCGGAAGCATCCATGAGAACCAATTCTTGTCGCCGGCGGCCACCATAATTATCAACCCTATATACCAAGTTACCATCGGAGTTTATAACCGTGAAGCCACTACACCCCACAAACAATGACTTCCTCCACACCGTTAAACTCCTCGGCCCACCACCACCACCACCATCATCATCGCCGCAGTGGGTGGCACCATCGCCACCATTAGATGGTTGACATCTTTCTTCATGCACGGTCCCCGACAAAGATTTCAAGAATCGTAGCATATTTCTCGCTCTAGATCTTTCTCTCTTTCTCTCTCTAGAGGTTGTGAAGATATGAAGAGAAGGATTCAAAGAAATGGAGGAGATATTTATGATGATTGATGGGGTGAGAATGTTTGAGGGACTTTCTTGTAATTTTGCTTACTCCGTGGGGTTGCTGAAACACTATCCTCACATATCACATGGTCTACCCATTTGACGAAATTTTCTTACAATCATATACATTCACGCGTGTACATATATCAGCAAAGCATATGATAGGTGTGCTAATATATAGTGTACTCACACACAAAATAAAGACACACACATATATATATATATATATATATATAATATCAATGAAGCATATGCATATGATATATGTGCTAATAATGTACTATACTCACATAAAACAACACACACACACATATATATATATATATATATATATATACACACACACACACACTGACACACGCGTTAGTATTAGGTTCGAAAAATATCATGAGAAGATAAAAAAAATTCATATGTAAACTCATATGAATAATACATCCTTTTGGTTCTCTTGTTCTTTTTTTAAGCTTTTCTTTAAATCTTTTCCATATATATATATATATATATATAGAGAGAGAGAGAGAGAGAGAGAGAGAGAGAGAGAGATCAAATACAAACCTCATTTGTATAACCCGTACAAAACTTATTTAACCAATCATAATTTTTCTTTTTCTTCATTTTTTATGAGAGATTAATAGTCATTTTTATTGTAAATAGCGTTAATTATGGACATTGTCATCTTTATTATATTAGTTTTAGAAAACAAATTCCATCAAAATGAGATATACATGAAACAATTTCATTTTTACATAGAAACAAAAATATATAAAATAATTTCATCAGATAAAACAATTTAATAAAACAACTTCATTAAATTAAACATTGAAATCGATGGATGATGATGGGTTTGTATGGTTTGTACAAATGGTTTGATTTACAAAGTAAACCACCACTATATATATGGATATTATTGAATGAGAGCTCCAATATTGCGACAATGTATTGTAACAAAAGTTCAGTTACAAACTTGATTTCCATTGTGAACCGGAACCGGGGAACAAAACGTGACACATGTGTATCCCCATTTATCATAAATAATGAACGTGAATTTTTACAACATTTATGATTTATTAATATCTCGTGAATGCCTGGGATACATACCCGCACTCTCGTTTCTCCCTTGATTCAAAACGAAAGTTAGGGAGTTGGCTTGAATTATTCACTTGAAGGTTGATGAACTTCTTTTCACTTTCAACAGTTCATGGAAAATGGGAAGACGAGGTCATGGGCAAGCACATCCTTCAGTTAATGCTTCGTACCTACCTTTAAGAAGGTTAAATATCGTGAGAATGTAAAAAAAATGTTAAAAGAATTTCGTATATGAAAAAATATAACATAAAAAATGAAGATACAAATGTAAACCAACGTTATAGATTATGAATATAAATTATGTTAGTCTCAACCATTTAATTTGATAATAATACAAATACATCTGATCTAACATTTAGAAATATTATTGAGATTGTGTCTACCTTAAAACAAAACATAATGACTTCTTATCAAAGCAACGAGAGAGTGTATCTAGATTAGCAATATGTATCATTCCTATGTCTCACCCGGATTGTATATCTGGATTAGATATCCGTTCTAGTATATAGGAGCCACAAGAATCAAATTGCAAGATCCGAATTCAACACTTCATAAAACAAGTTTTTTTTGTTTGAATTATATAATATTTAATATTTATATACGGCAAGTAGAACAAATAAACTCACACACGTTCTTCATCTTTGGTGAGGTTTGAACCTCTAATCTCCTAGGAAGTCAAAGATTCACATATCGCTAGGCCAAAGGCCATTTGGTATAAAACAAAAGTATTGCTTGAATCCATAATGTAGTTTATGTTTTGGAGATAATATTTATAGATATGATGCTTCCTTTGTAAAAGTCTTGTGATTAACTGTATTGATCCAAGAACAAATTCAACAAAATCATATACTAGTTGAAGAGAAACCAATATAGTGACCACACCGGATTGGATTGTCATCTAGGCGAATGAATATCAATATAAGATAAAGTCAAAAGTAGTAGTCTGACAAATACTACTTTGGCAAGTCGATGTTTGGAGTGCAAAAACTTAACTAGCAAGTTTAACTCACCAACTCTGTCAACTCTTATCCTAGTATGGAAATATGTTTGGTATGTCAGACAAAACAAGTTCTAAAGTACTATTTATTTAGTACCCTTTTTTTTTTTTTTACTATTTCATCTGCATACAGAAGAATGAATCATGCTAACAAACATTTACATCATTTTCAAAGGTTGAAATGAAAAGTACAAATAAGCACTAATCAACAAATCAGATGAAGACACGCGTTAAAATTATATATATATATATATATATATATATATATATATATATATATATATATATATATATATAGCAACATTTAATGTAATGGTGACTATAAAAAGTCACATGTATCATATGTTGCAACTCACTCGTTTTGAAGTGAATTGTAAGTAATAGTTTTTAGGTAAAATCGACGTCAACCATCTATACCCATCTCAGTTTTTTCAGATCTAAAAGGGTATTTTCTTCTATTATTGTTTCACTCTTTAGCAAATTTGTTACCAGCTATATTGTTTAAAATTAGGTCTTACCTCCCTAGCTTCAGCAACAACTGTGTAATTCTTTGTATTAACAAACATACTAAACTAAAAAAGTGAAAATTTGTTGTTTGTATTCAACCCCCTTCTACCAACACTTTATGTGTTATTTATTACCTTCTAGGACCAACATATTCACATATATAGGAACCTTCTGTTAATCCTACATTCTTATGATATTTATATCTCTTATTTGAATATGTATGTATATATATATTTAGAGAGAGAGAGACGGAAGATCAAACGAAAACACTAACTAAATAAAACTTTCTTAAAAATGTCCCAAAATAGCATATGTGTCATTTGTTGCATATGTATTTTATATGAAAATTCATATATCTCTATAGGAATTTTTTGGTGCATTTAATTAAAATATTTATTTAAGAATTTTTTTTTTACAATTTTCATGATTTAAGCATGATTGATTTTTCATTTAAATTTTATATTCTCTATGACATTTAAAATAATTAAACCTGATTTAGTTTTTCATTTAAAATATTAATTTTTCATCAAAGTAATTTATTTAATTTCTTGTACAATTTTCGTCAAAAACTGCATGTGATATCCACAATTAATCGACGCCTTTTTTTCATAAAAAATAACTAATTTTAGTCAAAATATCAGATATGACATCGTTTATTTTGTATTCTAAATAAACAAAAAAAAAATGATCACTTTCCTTATATTGGAACAATAATTTTCGATATATATATTAACAAGATACACCTACAAGAATATTCAAGCCGATTGTACATTTACCATCAATTCTTTCTCTTTTTGTCACAAAATATTGTTTACATCCTTTTACTTCTTTATATATCATGATTATCTACTTTATATTGTATTTTCAAACAACCAACAATCAGAATACTTATCATATAATAACTAAAATGGAATAAGTTAAGAAAAAACGAATCAAAATCGAACATGTTTGATTGGGACACATATCTCTATGTGTTCAGGAACACACATCTTAACACTAGAAAACAAATATATAAATAAAGTCGATGTGTTATCTAGAAAAAAAAAGTTGGCAATTGAAACAATCGGTAGGTATTGTTGTCTCTTTTTAAAAGTCCTTTTTATACCAATTGATGAGTTTTTCAAAATTATTTTCACGATAAACCTTATTCGAAAATAAGTAAAGCGAAAGGATGAATTTTATGTCAACCATGCATTAATACATACTTGATAACCAACTTTAGAATTGGCGGATATAAGATTGGCAAACTCTATTGATATAACTAAACAGTACTTGGCGTAACGTGATGTGTTTTGTTTAGCTTATTGGATTGTTAGAAAACATGATAAGAAATATAAAAGTAAGGGTCGTTTACCAAACATTTATTGTAACACCTGTGATTTCAGGTTTCTGTTGTGAGTAAGGTAGAGGTTTGATAAGGTTTCACAAATTAATGGTTTTGGAAAGCGTGGGATTTGGATCGGGCTCAAAAAACGGAAATTGCACGAAAATTAAGTCTGGCAGGCGACCTAAGTCGCCCCCTAGGTTGCATGGTACACTTTTTCGCACTTTGAGGTTCTCGGGCGACTTGCTACATGACTTAGGTGGCGGGAAGGTAACGTGGAGCATCAGTTCAGCTTAAAATGCGATTTTTTTCCGATATTTATCTTTATTTGGTCATAACTTTCTTATTTCTCATCCGTTTGGGACGATTTTGGAGGTTGTGGTTTCTATTTTGAAGCTCTTCAAAGAGATGAAGAGGGTTAAAGTTGTTGGTGATTATAGAGATCCTAGTGGTTAAAGGTAAGTTCTAGATATTTTTTATCTTTTAGCTAAATCCGTAATATTATAGATCTGTATATTACAGACGTACTAACATTTAAGTAAACTTAAAAAGAATTGGTTAGAAGACTAATTTAAATAAATAAAAAGCTATTCGAGTACGTCGGTTTCAGTTGGTTGATTATAGAAAGTGTTGTGTAGAAGTAGAAAAATGTGATGTGTGAAGATATGAATGGTGACGTTACTATTTCTATTACTATTACTAAAAAAAAAGGAAGTTTAGTCAAAGATCTTCATTGGAAAATGGTGGTAGATTCCGATCACCATCTTCTCATTTTTTTAATCTTACCTCCTCATCTCAAACACTTTCCCAAAACACTAGGAATTAATTTTTTTATTTTTATTTTTATTTTTATTTTTATTTATTTTAAAATAAGTGTTTGTTTTTAAATGGATGAAGTATTTATTTTTATTTAATAAGAAAATATATTTCTAAAAATATTTACATAGAAAATGAATGTTCCGAGAAATTAGAGATATACATTTTGAATATGTTTTAATTGATATTTAGAAAATAAATGTTTTTAGAAAGTAAATCAT